TACATTATTATTACCAGCCCTCTTTGCTTTCTGAGTTGTAATTTGTTTTCTGCCCATCTCTGTGCTATTTTTGTATTTTTAAAAGAGAGATTGGCAACTTGTGAGATGTTGAGACTGCTACTCCACACTGTTGGCTGCGGTGGCTGTGGCTGATGGGGAGTCACAATACCAATAATATTTGGAGGACCGCATGTTATACACTCCAACAAAATGAGACACAATTCTAAATAAAGGTCTAAATAATAAATGAATGTAAACACACCACAAAGTGCACTGCTGGAGTGCCAAGGAAGTATGCTGGTTGGGTCTTTCCCCCAGTCACCTTTGTTGTGACTCACATTCCTGGTCTAACTGTGTGACTTGTAGTATGGAAACAAGTCCTGGCATAGTCACTATGTCACATATGCCAACTATCCCACAGTTTCAGTATTCATCTGATTTGGTTTGCCCTCAAGGGACAAACACTCAGCTGTAACCTTTAGATCAACCTGCTACACTGAAAGAAAAATATCCTAAATCACAACTCATAAGAAAATGGTAACCAGACTGTCATTGTATGAGCATTACTACTAGCGCTCCCGTAATTGTCTTAGAGGATAAACTCTGTGGCACCCATTGGCATGTGCTGTTGTGGTGACATTTATTAAGACAATGGATATTAAGACACAGTTCAAATAATGAAGTGTCAGTTTGATGCATGTAAATTACATTGACAACAACCATCTGTGCTGGCTGCTGGGATACAGAATCCCCCATTCATTCAGCTTAATTTCATTTAATGACCAGCTTTCCAAAACCAGTCCAGAGGATCAAAGTCTGCCATGGCTAATCATTCTGTCAAGCCACCAAGATAAAAAGCATTAAGGGGCTCCACATATGTTTTCTTCCCATGCTCCTTGCTTGTTGAGCTGTTTTACCTCCTCACTGCAAATATACAAGTTTTTTTTCAGCAGCCACAACTTCAGGGGAAAAAGTACCAGTAGGTGGAGCATTTTCCCTTTTAATACTGCCATTGCAAAAACCAAAAGGAAAATGGTCCTGGAAGAGGGAGACCACAAGGAGGCACCAAAAGAATTATTTTTAAAGAATTCCAGCCGCTGTCCTTTCTTAAGGGCAGGATGGCAGAACTGGTATCAAAATAGCCGAAAGTGGGGACGGGGGATGCAGAGAGATGACTGACTGCAGTCACGTACTCCTGTCTTCTCTGATCTACTAAATGGGTAATTAAAGATGACTTTGACCCTTATGGCTCCTGACAGGGCTTTCTTCCTTATACACAGCTCTCCTTCTACTTTCAGCCTAGTCCTTGATCTACATCTTCAAAATCAGATGAACTGCTGCAACCTCACAGAACTTTGCTTTTCGGTGGTGTAAAAGTAATGCCAGCTTTTCAGCTAAACTGGACTCTTAAAAAAACAAAAACTGTAGGGATTGCTACAGTGAGCTGGAAAGACAGTTTTGGATAGCTGCACCAGAAAATGCCTGGGTTAAATTTCTATTAATACCCAAGCTCTATGGAGTGGCAAGTCACTAGATCTCACCCCAGCTATCTCACAGGACTATTCTTAGGATAAAGTTGGGAAAACCCAATTTATGCTACTTTGAGTTTGTTATGATAACTTCATTGGGCACTCTAAAATTCGGAGGAGGGTGACCAAAATGTTGAAGGGACTGGAAACAATGCCCTATGAAGGAGAGACTTAGGGAGCTGGGTATGTTTAGCCTGCAGAAGATAAGATTAAGAGGTGGTATGATAACCCTGTTTAAATATTTGAAGGGATGTCCTATTGAAGATGGAGCAAGCTTGTTTTCTGCTTCTTCAGAAAATAGGACCCGGAACAATGGATTCAAACTGCAGGAAAAGAGATTCCACCTAAACATTAGGAGAAACCTCTTGACAGTAAGAGCTGTTCTACAGTGGAGCATGCTGCCTTGTAGTGTGGTGGAGTCTCCCTTTTTTGGAGCTTTTTATACAGAGGATGGATAGCAATCTATTGAGTGAGCTTTGATTGTGTATTCCTGCATGGCAGAGGCCCTTGTGGTCTCTTCCAACTCTATGATTCTATGATTCTGAAAAATGCAACATTCAGCATGCTAGTTTTGAAAAGCCCAGTGGGTCCTTCATTAGAAGGTAAAAAAATCATCCAGGAAAGGAAGAGTGACAGTATTAGATTTGCAGGATTGCATTTTGCTTGAAGTAGCAGAGGGGGAGGATATGTGTAGATATAAAGGTTATCTATATTTCCAATGTCTGTGAGGTGTCAGGAAACAAATGCAATTAAAGAAAAGCAGTAATGTTTTTTTTTTCTACATTTGCAGCTATAAATTACACCCTTTTGAAATCTGTGTCTATCCTGTCTGAGGGTCTGAGGTGTGAAATCAAGTTACATAGAACAGACTGGCGCTTCGCTGAATGCTCAAGTACAGCATGAGAATGTGAAACCGACCTACCTTCATAATCTTGGACTTTCTTCATGTAAATCCTGAGTTGTTTTTTCAGCTTCCTTTCATTCTTTTCTAACTTTTCTAGCAGCTCCTTGAGATCCTGAAAAATAAAGAAACCACATCTTTATAAAGTTAAAGTGCTTTGCTTGGGTAATGGAGCAAAATATGCACTGCACACAAACACTTTGCCAGAACCATAAAATATATAACCGATGGATAAATGGAAGGAAAGTGCTTTGCTTTACTGATTCACAGAAACCAGCTCCGCTCACTAGGAAGGGTACTCTTGCACTGAACAGGATATTTGAAAATGTACATTTAAAAAAGGTTCTACAATAGAAAGAAAAACTTCACTGTGGCTGTGTAAGTGTATTCAAGTCACTCATTAAGTGTATTCAAGTCACCCATGAATTTTATAGGGTTTTCTTAGGCGAGGAATCCTTAGAGGTGGTTTCGACAGTTCCTTCCTCTGAAATATAGCCTACAGTACCTTGACAGTCTCCCATCCAAGTACTAAACAGGGCTGGTCCTGCTTAGCTTCCAAGTTCAGGTGGGATCTGGTGTCTTTATGGCTGTCGTCCCTAAACTTTTTTGGGCTACCACCCCCTTTCCTCTTGGGCAACAACCCAGCACCCTATGTATAAATCTAGAAATTCTAGTAAAAAAAATTAACCCCCAAAATCTGGGTTAGCCTATCTGTGGGTCATTGTATGTACTGTACTTTTAACTCTTATCAAAATAGGAACAATCCCCTTCTTTGAGTAGAGTGGGGAAAGGCAAAATCTTAGTCCATCCTGGAAGAACCTAAAAGAAGCTGTGGCACAGTTTCTAGTTTTTTTTTAATGTATGTGGGAAAACAATGGTGTGCTTTGGCATATTTTTCCTTTCCTTCATCCTTTACATCCTTTGTCACATGCCCCTAAGTTTACCCTGTACTTATCCACAAGTTATATCACAATCCATAATTTTGGCACCAAAACCTGCCCTCGACTTACACAGGAAGTCAAATATATATGGCAGGGCTACTGTTTTACTGCAAATTCAAAACAACCAATCTCAGTTGCTGCTCTCCTTGCACTTGGCCACCTTTGGAGTAGCAACCAAGCAGCTCTTCTAAGCAGCAACTGAGAAGCCTCTTGCCTGTGCCAGCCTTGCGGCAAAAGCTGGCATGGGCAAGAGGCTTCTTGGTCACAGCTCATCCAGTTGTTTGGTTCCTGCTCCCAAGGTGACCTGATGCAAAGGGGGAAGTTTCTCCCCGACTCTCAATCCTTCACAAGGGCAGAGAGGCTTCCCACTTTTCTCCCTGGTTAAGTAAGGACTCCAAATCTGAGAGACATGAAGGACTCATTTGCAGCCCCAAACCTGCCAGCCAAGTCCTGGCAAAGCTCACAAAGCTTAAGCAGGGTCCCAAACATGAAAACTCCTTTTTGCTGTTGCTTCTCCCAGACACCCCCCCCCCAATGCTCGTAACTCCTA